CTTTAAAAAAACGAACCGACAGGAGGTAGGTCTCTTTTCGCGAAGCTGGGACAGCAGGAGGAAGGGTGAGATTTTAGCTCTGAGCTCTGACCTCTTGGCTTTCTCTTTTACATTGTTTCTGTGTTTCTTATTTAATAAGACAGTTGGTTACATCTACAAGCCCCCCTCCCCAATCCTTTCTCCTAAATCCCTATTGGCTGTCCAGTTCTTTATTAGACCATCAGGTATTTTGCACAGGCACAGTAACACAGCTTCACAGAGCTAAACAAATGCAACATAAGCAAAAGTAACACATCTTAAAGTAATATTCTACAACAGGCCAGGTTGGCCTCAAACTCAGAGACCTTCCTGCCTCTATCTCCCAAGTGCAGGAATTAAAGGCATGTACCACCACTGACCAACTTGATTTAATTTTTAAAAAGTAAGTACAGCAGTGTTCAGATTATTTCTTGTTTTCCATAGTAACTTTATTGAGATCTGATTTATATAGTAGACAATTTCATTTAAAGTGGAAAAATCTTCATTTTCAGTTCCTGAACACAATTATAGAATCATTACTGCAATTAATTGGATAGTAGTTCTATCACTTCAAGAAACTTCATTGTAGCCAGGGTTTCCCACATGCTTTGGCAGTCACCACGCATTCCTCCACAGCCCCCAGTCTTATAAGACTGTCTCCATGGATTTCAGGGAACCTATGTACAAGAATAATAAAATAAATGGCTTTTTGTGACTGACTTCTTTCAGCAGAATGCTTTCAAGGTGTATTCACTGGGTAGCACGTATGAGCTCCTCATTCTTTTCTCTTTTTTTAATAGAAAAATAAGCATTGTAAGAATATACCAGACTTTATTAATCCATTATCAATTGATGGACCTTTGGGTTGTTTTTAACTTGGGCTATTTCTAGTAACATTGCTTTAAACCTTTAGTGTACTGGCTTTTGTGTAAACATGTCTTCCTTTCTTTTGGGTATAAACTTAGATGTAGTTTAGATTAAATGGTAACTCCTTGTTGAATGCTTTGAAGGGCTGTCTGGATATTCTCCAAAGTAGCTGTACCATCTCTCATCCTGCCCATTAGTGTAGGAGGGATCCAGTTTCTCCACATACATATCAGCTGTTATTAGTCTCTGTTTTCATAATTATAGCCATCTTAGTATGGTAGAATGGCACCTCACTGAGCTTCTGATTTGCATTTTATAAATGACTAAAGATGCCCAGAATTTCTTCCTGGACCCCTGGCCATTTGTCTATCTTCCTTAGAAAAATATCTATACAGAGCCTTTCAGTTTTTAATGTTTGGAGTTTGTCTATTTATTTTTGGGTCGTAAGAGCTCTTTATATATTCTGCATACAAGTCACTTATCAAATATATGAACTGAAACTATTTTCTCTCGTGCTCTGGTTCTCCTTTCACAATCTTGCTGGTTATAATTGATTTGGATCGTAAATACAGGGTTTTTAATTTCTCTTTGGCATTATACCCAGTAAATTTCAACTGAGAGTTTTTTATTGGACATAATCTTGAATAAATTTTGTCATTTAATGCATTTGTTCCAAGTTTTATGCATGCCATTGATTTAAGACACATATCTTTGTATGATTTGTTGAATAAAATATACACAAAGCGAAGTTTTGTGCATGCCATAAACATGCTCCTCCAGACTAATGTCAGACAATAGCTAAGCTACCAGTGAATGGAGAACTCAGGCACTGTTAATAATGGGTCTAGCTTTGTGACTTTATCCTGAGAGCCACTTGTAACCTTGGCTCCATTTACATGACTGAACTGGAGCAGAAATGGAGGCTGATGGAGAGGAACAGAGCTTGAACTGGACAAAAGACCTTTCTACTCGGATCGAGTGCATCACTCATCCCTTGATATTTTGCCAAGAGCTTTGCATTATGCATAGGGTGAATCCCAAGTATTTAGCATAGCCTGTAAGTACCATTGGTCTGGTCCTTGTCTTCTTCTTGGGTTACTTATCCCTCTCTGTTTTCTCAGGCCACACTATTGTCCTTCCAGTCCTTTGTAGGGTTGAGCATTTTCACACACAAACACTTGCAACGCTTTTCCTATCTGAGGTTAAATATCCATCCCTAAAGAAGTATTACCTCACCTATCTGCATCATGCTCTCATATTATTCTCTCGAAGTCCCCATACCTTCCCTTCGTGGTAATCAAGTATTTCCTCTTACAACATTTGTCTCCTACGGGGCCACATGCTTTTTGAGCATTCTCTCCTTCCTGGTCCATTGCCACATGAACGATCCCTGGTGTCCCAAATGCTGCCTAATCATGACTTCCCTGTCACCATGGACTGAAACTTCTGAAGCTGTAAACTAAATGAACTCTTCCTTGATTTGTTTCTGCTGTACTTTGGTCACAGAAAAGGTAACTAACATCCTTTCTCAGTAGCCTCTACTGGCTAAGCTGAGCCTGACATGAAGCAGAAGTTTTGTAAATGCTGTGTGGATGAATAGATTATAAGAGAGGAAAGCCATGCATTCCCACTTCCTGTTATTACCCTGAAAGAGGAGGAATTGCCACGCCCCTCTCCAGGAAGGAGAAGCACAGGTAGAATTTGATCAGCTTCCCTCAAATCCCTTCCTTCTTCCCACAGCAAGATAATGACTTAAATGGTTGCTACATTTAGAAAAAGGGCTTGTTCTGACTCAACACCCTACAAGCTTCTATTCCTTTTGGAGGTAGCTTTCTACTGGACACATACTTTCTTCCCCTCTGTGTATTCAAGACTTGTGGGTCCTCGGGTGACCGAGCTGGGTCACAGAATTGCAGTTATTCTGGGGGTCCAAACACAGCAGCTCTTGTGAGCTTCCTTCTCTGTTCAATCCTTATTTTGCTTTTCCTCTGTGACTTCATTTGTTTTCTGGTGCTATGACAGAATACCCAGACAGGAATTTAGGAAATTGGTTTTGCCTTATAGTTCTTAGTTCTAGGCAATGGGGCTGTTTGGTCACTGTATCTGAAAGGTCCTTCCTTGTTATGTACCCATGGCTGCTTCCCAGTATAAGCTCTTCCTAGTATACGTGCTATAGGTCCTGAGGGATGGAGGACACATCGTCCTTGCCAGGAGTCCTTTTGTTGTAAAATAGCACACGGCAGCAACATTCCCTAACATCTTCTCAATACAAGAACCATGTGGCATGCTTGGTGAATATCCACCCAGGCTACCGATTATAAACACATGACCTCCATGACCTGCTTTGCCCAGAAATCATCCTGTTGTCCCAGCATAGCACTTGAAAGATACATTTTATTTACCAACCTTCTTCCTACACACCACCACCACAACCACCACCACCACCACCACATGAACTGTAGAAACTGTTCTGGAGTTACGGAGCTCAGGGAGTTAAACTTTAGTAAGAACTCAAGGATTGGGAAGATAAGCAAAGAGTAGAGTTGGCGCAGAACCTGTTACATTAGCATATGACTTCTTAGGGCAAAGCAATGGTTTGTCCAGAAATAGAGGCTGCTGAAGCAGGAAGGGCATGAATGTGCTGAGAATGTGGCTCCACTTAGACCTCAAGGCCATTGTCTACAGTAGGGGCCATTCACCTGCACTGGGTTTGTTATGATTCTGTTAATGTAGATCTGCAGAGCTTACACACACCACCACACACACTATCCATCCCTTTCATCTTAGAACAAGAACTTGCATAAAGGAAATCCAGCTGACGCTATTTCCACTGTGAACCAATGCTACCATTCCTTAAATAATCCCCTCTCTGTGCTGAGATTCTCAATGGCCCCACGACCCAACACCATAGAAGCTTCGGGATGTCTTTAACTCAAGAAACAAATGATTCTGCAGTGTATGGCCAGTTTACTTCATAATTTGTGTCTGAATCATGAATAATAATGTCTTCCTAGGAGTATTTAAAAAAAATGAAAGATGCTAACAGGGATTTTAAATCATTTTTATCTGCTGTATATTTGTGAGCTGTTCCCCTGTCACTTATAATTAGTGGCCAGAGCAGATGGCGCAAGCTAAGCATTAGGTAATATAATCACTAAATACCCCCTATCACTCCCTAAAAGCAAAATGGTTCTGAATTAGAGACACTTCATTTATCAAAGGATTCCCCCCAACCCCGCCCCTTGCTGGAATACATTGTAAGAAATTACGACATTAGATAAAAAGATATTTCCACATCAGGAAGTTCAAAAGATTAGGACGCTACAGAAATGTAAGTTAAAGGAACTCATAAATGTTTCAGGAAGCATCGCACTAGAATTATTACTATAATTTGAGAAAGGCAGGCTCTGCAATAAAGGGAGATTCATGACATTGCCAAAATTATTCTTCAAATTTCTGACATATTTAGGTAGAATTTTCATGCCAAGTCAAATAATTACGGAATTTAAAAACTGCTTGAAGGAACGCTTGAAATTTTATGCTAACCAGGGTTTAACTTTAGAGGCCATGTACTCTCTTAACATGCTATGGTTTATAACCTCCTTCCAAGCTCCAAAGGTGCTCATCCATGATTTTAAAAAAAATCCCATAGGAAGCCGAGGCAACGGGATCCTATTGTAAATATTACTCAAAGTTCCGTTTACTCACTCACTCAACAAATGACTATTGAGCGTGCATTCACTGGAGACACAAGGTCTTATGCTTTCGTAGAAACACCTTCAGAGGGCAAAGACAATGAACAGAAAACACCATGTAATTGTGGACTGCACAGTGAAGGGTTAACTCGACAGGCTCAAGCTGCTCCAATCCACTGTTTTCTGGAGGTTTGGCTCTCACCTCTGAGCCCTTGGTATACAGCACAGCACTCGGATGCTTGAGGCCTTCGGTCCGGCTATACATCAATTTGACCTCTAGGGGGCGCTGGAGACTGAGCGGGTGAAGTCAGCCTCATGGGCATTGCACGCCCGTGTGAGTGACCTTCAACAACCCTGGGCACCGTGGCTTGGCAACAGTCTGCTTGTGTTGTCACAGACTGCTATGGGAAAAGCATGTTTTTGTGTGACTGCGCGGCAAAGGGCGGCAGGGAGCGTGTCGCTGGACACTCCCCTGCACCTCTGGGTACCTTTGCCTTTCCCTGGTTTTGATGTGTATTCCTTTGCTGTAATAGACTATCAAAGTGAGTGCAACAGCTTTCCTAAACCCTCTAAGTCCTTCTAGCAAATCATTGAGTCTCTGTGTCCCTGGAGAGGCTTGATATACACACTAGAAACAGGATGAGGTATTAGAGTACTGTATCATGGTTAGTTAAGTGTAAGGTTCATGGGTTAAGTAAGTAAGGTCCTGTATCTCGGTGTGGTGCTGTGAAATAATGTAGTTTTAGTAGGGGTATCAAAGAGAGAGAGAGAGAGAGAGAGAGAGAGAGAGACAGAGACAGAGACAGAGACAGAGACAGAGACAGAGACAGACAGAGAGATAGACAGAAGGTCTAACGAAGCCTTTAGGAGGTGGGATCTCTTGGGAAGATCGTTGGACTCAGCTCCTTCCTCTCTTTCTCTTCCCAGCCGAAAGGCCCTGCTCAGATGTTACATTCAAATCATAAACACGTTTATTTAACATCTCATACTTTTGGGAGCTGGATAAGCACTGTTAACTACTGGAACCAGTTACTGTTCTAAGAAAATTCTGCACCTTCAGCCTTGTGAGACCCTAAAGGGAGACCAATTCAATTCAGCCCAAGGCTGCCTGGACTCCAGAGTTACAGATCTGTAGGCTATTAACGGGGTGTTACGGTTAAGTTGCTAAGTTTGTGGGGATTTGTTCCGTAGCAGCAGGAAGGGAGCGTACCTTCTAAGTCAGCATGGGCTGTTCTATCCAGCAGGCTAACATGGGCTGGGAAAGCTTCAACAAAGCAAAAAACAAAAAACAAAACAAAACAAAAAAACAAAACAAAACAAAAAAAACCCACTTGCTTCTTACAGAACTGGAATCTGAGAAGCCCAGGACGAAAGCTCTGGAAAATCCGGTGTAGACTCTTATACATGTAACAAATCGCGAAAGGGATGGGGTGGGGGGTGGCGACCTCACATGTCTTTTCTTAAAATCCAACCAATCCTAAACTAACTACAAAGGGTTCTACTTTCATGTCCACTCCAAAGGCCCCACCTGGACACCATGCCTCCGTTGGGGAGTATGTCTTAACGTGCAAATTCTTTTCAGGGGGTGGACAAAGACACTCAGCCCACAGCACCTGCCTTACACTTAATTCTCTCCCCAGTTCTCTTGCGACTGACTCATAACGCATCCACTGTAACATGCCCCCCAGATCTTAGCACAGCTGACACCATGTTAAAGGTACCATTCCGACCTTAAAACTCAACATGTAGTCCCCGCAAGACCTTTCAAAATGGGAGCAAAGACCTAATCCATCAAAGATTTAGTCCAAAGTTCTGGGAAAGTCTCTAAATGTACTAACCTTGCTTTTTTGGCTTCTGTAGTTCTGCTTCTGGCTGACTGAAGTGTGACAACCAGGCTGTGGTTTTATGCAGAAAACACAAAGGACTGTAAGGTTTGGGGGCTGCATGATTCAGAGAAGTTCAACACGCAGCTGCCTGCTGGCAACAAAGACTTTCTTTTCAGCTCTTCAAGTGTCCATGCTGTAGTCTCCGGGGAGCTCACCTTGAAACTCCACCAAGTATAATAAACACAAACACTCCGTAACATGGGTGGCACAAATGTGCGATTCCAGCACTTAATGTTGCTGAGATCCATGTATTGGGAGTTTGAGGCCACCCTGGGCTGTGTAGGATATTCCAGTCAACCTGGGCTCTACAGCAAGACCATGTCTCAAACTACCTGACTAACTCAGAGCTATTTATTTTCATGTGTATCCCTCTAAAAGCTGTCCTCCAAACTGGACTATAAACTCAGAGGAAACAGAAGTGGCATCTTTATTTCTTCCTAGTTACTGATAAAGAGGTCGACTAACTCAGAAAATTTAAGGGAAGCCCTTGGAAATCTTTCAGAAAGTACAATGTAGATCTTCCTTCTCATAATAAATTAACCGTGTGTCATGTCTGTGCTTTGTCATTTGGTTCCCAGTGTCTGTCTTGGGCCCAGTGGGACTCTGTCACTAATGAATGTCTCTAGAAATGTAAGAAATGATGGATTCATAAATGTATTACACTTCTCAAATAAAATATATCAGCACTCATTCACCCGAACAAAAACATTTCCGTGTATGTCACCTGTGGTGTGTGCATGTGTATGCACAGAAAAATCAGACAAAGACTCTGAGCTTTTCCTTCAGTTAAACGAACTCTTCATTTGAGTCTGTGGTGCCAACCATGCAATTGTGGACAAGAAAGGTCGCATCCTGCCAGGCTGTCTCCAGCTGAAGGAAGCTGGATATATATCAAAAGGGCTTGCAGATACCTTTGAATTGCATTTAATAGTCTATGAGTTCTAAGAGCCAACAGACTCTCTCTACACTCTGTAACTGAGCGTTAATAAGTTAGCAAGCCTTGTAATACACTTGTCTAATGTCAACTGATTACAGATGGTGAGGGCAGGGTGGATTGAATGCCTTAGCACACAGGTTTTTTGAGGGAGCTTACAAGTAGCTGGTTGCTATTTTTCCCTAATAGAGATACCAGCTGTCTCACTGTATGCATGTATTCGGCCTACCCATATCTTTTACCTCTGCCCATATGGTAGGACAATTTGCTGTCTGGAATTCTGTTCTGTTTGCTGAAATCAAGAGATACAGAATCTGGGAGATGTCGTGGGTACTGTCAAAGAACAGAGCATCTCAGACCTTCACGGGGGATGTTTAAGAACCATCTTGACAGTAAAGCAGAGACCTGTCAGAGGCCAGAGACAGGAGTCTCTGAAGTGGCCTTATGTGGGAGTCAAACCTAGGCAGCAGACTCACGAAGAGGTGCTATTGTGTTTCCAAAATGTTAATATAACTCAGTGTTGGAAACCGACTGCCAAGTATGGATTTGTATCTCAGTTAGGTTTTCGATTGTTGTGAAGACACACCATGATTGTGGCAACTCTTTTAAAGGAAAACATTTAATTGGGCCTAGCTTACAGTTTCAGAGGCTTAGTCCATTATCTTCATGGCAGCATGCAGGCAGACACGGTGCTGGAGAAAAGAGTTCAGAGTTCTACATCTTGAGCCACAGGCAACAGGAAGTGAACCATCACACTGGGCGTGGCTGGAGCATATGTGAGACCTCAAAGCCCGCCTCCATAGTGACACACTTCCTCCAACAAGGCCACACCTACCCCAACAAGACCACATCTCCTAATAGTGCTACTTCCTGTGGGCCAAGCATTTAAACACATGAGTCTGTGGGGGCCATACCTTTTCAAACCACCACGATTTGATTATCTAATATCAGTTATTTTACTATTTAGAGGTACTGGGAGTTGAACCCATAGCCTTGCACCTACTAGGCAATCACAGTACCACTGAGCTAATTCTCCAGCTCAAGATGTGGATTCTAAACACAAAAGGTCCCCTAAGCATTGGTAGTTCTCTCCATTGGCTCAAGGAGAAAATCTGCACAATTTTAATACAGCTCAGCTCTGCCTGGGCTGTCTTTTTATCTTCTTCCCTATCTTTTGAAAGTATATTTTAAAAAGTGCTATTTAAGGGTATAAATTATACATGTAGGTCCTAGCTGAATATTTATTGGAAATTTTCTCGGCTGAGATGTAGCTGGAGGGCTTCTCTCCAGGTTCCCCAAGCCCTGCAGTCCCACAATCCACTTATAAAATAATCACTCAGACGCTTATATCACTTATAAACTGTATGGCCGTGGCAGGCTTCTTGCTAACTGTTCTTTTATCTTAAATTAACCCATTTTTATAAATCTATATCTTGTCACGTGGCTGGTGGCTTACCAGAGTCTTTACATGCTGCTTGTCCTGGCGGTGTCTGCAGTGTCTCCCCCCTCAGCCTTCCGCTTCCCAGAATTCTCCTCTCTCCTTGTCCCACCTACTTCCTGCCTGGCAACCTACTTCCTGCCTGGTCACTGGCCATCAGTGTTTTATTTATTGACCAATCAGAGCAATTTGACATACAGACCATCCCACAGCACTGAAATGACCCTGAGGTTAAAAAACAGAACAAAACAAAACAAAAAAACACCACTTCTGTGAAAACCATTAGGTATATAGTACAATAATAATCTTTATGCTGGATTGAGGGAGTGAGAGGGAGGAGAAAAATTATGCATGCTCGCATAGAACTGGTTTGAGAAGAAAAGCTGAGACTTAACATGTACCCTGACAACTAGATTTGCTCTATACATTTCAAGTGTGTTCTCCAATACATTTAGAACAGGAGTAGTCAAAAGGAAAGTTAGTTATGCAGACTCCGTAAATGGCTGCGCCTGAGGCCCTCCCTGTTCGGCCACTTACAGTGTTATCTAGGAAAAGTCATTTCCTCAACCTAAGCTGGCTTTCTCTGCGACACAGGAGCAATAACTGCATGGCTCATAGAGAAGAGGGCGTGGTTAAACTGCTGTGTGGTTCAAATAGAGTCTAGTGGGTGAGCACCGTGCGGGGCTCCTTCGAGCCCAGGAGAACTTCCCCTTTGAACTCCCTGTTGTTTGAAGTTACTCATTAGTCATGACTTAACTCCCTCTCCTGCATATGTCGTGTGATGGTTTGGGTGGGGTTTCTTCACTGCCCAGCTAGGGTTGATGACTACGGTTTACGTTTCTTCACACAGTGTGCTCAAAGGCATTCTTTTCTGAGCCCTCCCCTCACATCCCATCTGCCCTTCCGTCCTTATTCCTCTGTGTGTTCCCCATTCTCTCCTCCTCTCCCCTTTCTTTTTATTTCTTAATTATAATTTTCGATAGCTCTCACAGTCCAAAATCTGAGGACTCCAGCAATATCTCAACTTGTCTGCTGAGCTACTTGACCTAGGATATATTTTCCTAATAAAAACTGATCTAATACTTCTCCTTATCCCCACCCATGTGCCTCCCTCCCACTCCTAATCTTATTCACTAAAATATGAGTATAGTCGATTCTATCTGTGGTTGTTTATCCTCCAACAGTTACTGAAATCAAAGGGGGAGGGGCAATTATTGTCAACTGGTTAGTACAATGTTTGTGTAGTGGTAATATCTGGAAGCTGTGCTTGTCTTCAAAGTCAATATCCAACTCAAGGAATAATAGAGTTTGCATCAGGCACTCCAAGCTCCTTGGCTGAGGAACTGTTTATTTTCCGAAGGACACACTTGGCCCTACACATTCAGGTTCCATTTGAACATAATAAAGACCTTAAGTAAAAGAATATAGGGGACAAACCATAATCTAAGCAATAAAATAACAGCAGAGGCATCAATCCCAATGATGTAACATAAAATAAATGAAAAGCCAGACAACATAACTCATCCAAACATTATTAGCTGGACAGTAATGGCACCCAGTGATAGTGAATTTGATGAAGTTCCAAAGAATTCAAAATAATGATTACAAGTATCAAAACCACAATCAAATGGATAAAGGAAATAAGAAAAGCAATGCATGATCTGAGAGAGGAATTCAACAAAGAGAGAGACTGAAGGAAGAAAAGACAATCTAAATTACTAAACATAAAACATAGTAAGTCAAATTTTAGACATCTCTGTGAAAAGTGTCTGTAACAGAATAGATCAAGAAGACAGGATATCTCATTTTCAAGACAAGATGGAAGAATCAGAACAGCCCAACAAAGACAAAATAATAAGGTGTCAGTGGGAATTCCAAGACATACAGAAAAAGGCCAAATTTACAGATTGTATGCAAGAAAAAGACAGAATGTGTATTGGAGAGAAGAGGAAGAACTTTATTCTGAAAGCATAAGAAGAATCAGAAAATTTCCCAGAGTTGGGGGGGAAAATGCCAATCCAGGCATTTAAGACACCAAACAGATAAGACCAGAAAAGAATTTCTCTTCATATCATAATTAAAACACAAAACATGCAAAACAAAGGAAGTGTACAGAAAGTAGCCCAGGCAAGCCCATCACAAGGACACCAGATCATTCTATAAAACTTTAAAAGAAGGGGAAGAATGACATGTTTCAAGTCCTGGACGTTAGCAGCCGCCAAACTAGCTTACTATCCTCAGCAAAGCTATCATGACTGAAAGAAAAATTCAAAATTTCCCACGATGAAATAGACATAAAGAATTTATGGCCACTAAGCCAACTCTACTGGAAACTTAAAAGAAACCCCAGACTGAAGGGGAAAAGCAAATCCATGCAAGAGGCCACAGGAAGGACTAAAGCCATGCTAGATAATAAATAAGCAAGAGGAGTAAAGGAAAAAATCCGATCACATAAAATCAACAAAATGACAGGAATTAATAACACCTTTCAATAAAAACTGAATATCACAGTGCCCCCATCAAAAGATGCTGATTAGCAGATTAAATAGAAAAGCCAGAAGCATCGATTTGTTTCCTTCCAAGAATGGACCTCACCACAAACGACAGACACTACCCTACCTCAGTGTAAAAGGATGGAAAACAAAACAACACAGGCAACAGCAGGTGTTACTGTTCTGATATTTGACATGATGGACTTCAAAAACTAGTAAGAAAAGATAAAGACCACCACACTCTTATTAAGGGGAAGGTATTTAGATCGGCAGTGACCTCAACCCTGTGGCCTTGCAGTGGCCTGGCTTGCAGCTGTCTCAGCTTTTCCAGCTCAGTTTCGTTCATTAAGATATTGATGCTGAGATCCTTAAGCCCCTCTGAGCTTTCCACAACTTGGCTTTTTAACCCTTTGAATCCATTCTATAACCTCTATCTCTATGTATATATGTGTGCCTACAAATGAATGTGCGTGCGTGCGTGTGTGTGTGTGTGTGTGTGTGTGTGTGTGTGTGTAGTCTGTGATAGACTATGTGGAAATATATATATATATATATATATATATATATACACACACACACATTCATACATATTTACTATGATATAATATGTGATCAGAAAGTTAACATTAGGGGTTGATATTGGAAGGATAGAAGCCGTACTCACCTTGGCCAGTG